TTCTCAAAGTGCAAGTTTTGTCTTAAGTCTGTGGCATTTTAAGGTCACGAGATGTCAAAGGATGGGATTATGGTAAACCCGACAAAGATTGAGGCAGTTCATAATTGTGTTAGGCCCACCTTAGTTTTAGAGATTCGAAGTTTCATTAGGTTGGTAGGATATAATGATGTTTTATCGAGGGTTTCTCTTCTATTGCAACACTGTTGACTTGACTAACTAGGTTGGATGTTCCTTTAGAGCGGTCATACGAGTGTGAGGTGAGCTTTCTGAAGCTCAAGGAGTTGTTCACTTTGGTTCTTATTCTGACTCTTCCAATTGAGTGTGAGGTGTATTATGACACATCTAGTGTTGGTTTGTATTCTGTTTTGATGCATCAGTTTTGTGTTATATCTTATGCGTTGAGGCACCTTAAGGTGAGCGAGCACAACTTCCCCACTCATGGCATAAAGTTGCAATGATAGTTTTTATGATTAAAATTTAAAGGCATTACTTGTATGGAGTTTATTGTGAGATATTCACCAATCATCGAAGGCAGTATACTTTGAGCCAAAAGGACCTTAATTCAAGGTATCATAGGTGGATTCAACTTTTGAAGGACTATGACCTTTTTATTCTATATCATCAGGGTAAGACAAATGTGGTAGGGGAAGCTTTGAGCCGGAAGGTGGCAAGTATGAGAAGTTTAGCCTTCCTTAAGTTTTAAAGAGACCTTTGGCATTGGATATATAGTTCTTATCCAATAGGTTGGTTTGTCTTGATATCTCAAATCCCTTTCGTGTTATAGCTTTTATTGAGGCTCGCTCCACTCTATTGGAGAAAATTCATGGTCAATAGTTTGACTCTGAAGGTGTTTTCAAGAGTGGTGGCAATATTTGTGTTCCTGAGTTGGGGGATTCATTTAATTTTTATTTCAGGAGTCTCATAGCTCCAGATATTCTATTCACCCTGACTATGATGTATAGAGATTTGAGACAATTGTATTGGTAAATCCAAATTAAGAAAGATATAACATACTATGTGGCTTGTTGCTTGTTTTGTCAGCAAGTGACGACCAAACATTTTAGGTCTGATGGTGAGTTTTAGAGTCTACTCATTCTCGAGTGGTAGAGAGAGTGGATCACTATGGACTTTGTTGTGGGTTTTTTGTGGACTTCTCAAGGTATTGATAACATTTGGGTCATCATGAATCTATTGACCAGATCTCCTTATTTCTTACCTATTCAGCCTTCTTTTAGTGCCGAGAGGTTAGCCCGTATCATGTTAGAGAGGTAGTTCATATTCATGGGGTTCCAATGTCTTCTATGTCCTATAGAGGCTCCCAATTCATTTCTAACTCTCGGAGGACTTTTTCGGAGGTGTTGGCTACTTGGGTGGATCTTAGCATAACATTTCACCCACAGACCACCGAGAAGTCAAAGAAGACTATTAAGGTTTTGGAGGATATGCTTCAAGCCTATTTGTTGGACTTTGGAGGTCAATAGGATCAATTTCTAGCTTTGGCAAAGTTTTCTTATAACAATAGCTATCATTCGAGCATTCAGATGACTTTATTCCAGGCTTTGTATGGTAGGAATCGTCAATTGCCAATTGTTTCATTTGAGGCTTTGGAGCTAGGCCGCGTAGTATAAACCTGCTTTAGAAGGCATTAGATAAAGTTTGTGTGATTCAAGACAAGCTACATGAGGCTGCTAACTATTGGTATTGTACCTTGTGCTTTGGCTTTAGTTATCATGTTTTCCTTTAGAGTGTTTCTCTTGAAGAGCATGATTAGATTTTGGAGGCAGAGCAAGCTTAGCCCCAGATTCATTAAGCCTTTTAAGATCATTCACGCAATTGGAGATGATACTTATGAGTTAGCCTTGACTCCTTTCTTTTCAATTGTTCATCTAGTTTTCCATATATCAATGCTTCACCGATACATTCCATACGAGTCCCATGTGCTTCGATGGGATTCAGTTCAGTTGGATGACTGTTTGACCTTTATGGAAGAGCCAATTGCTATATTTGCAAGAGATGTCAGGCAATTGCATTTAAGAGATATTCCTGTGGTTAAGGTTCACTAGAGACACGACCTAGTAAAGAAGGTTGCCTAAGAAAATGAGTGTGACTTGTCAGCCAATATCCCTTCCTATTTGAGCCATCAGTTACTTCTTAACTCTTTGCTTTCGAGGACAAAAGTCCTATTAGTTTTTAAGTGTTGTAATAATTCACTAGGTCATTTTATTTTTTTTCACGTATTTTTAACATTCAGAGTTTTCTTATAACTGCCCAAGTCATTTATGACTTGCTATTGGGACTGACAGGACGGTCAACGGGTACTTCATTTGGTTTTATGCAATTTTCTATCTTTTAAAGCATCTAAACTTTAGATGTTTGACTTATATGAAAATTTTAGGCAAACGACCTTGTAATGCGATTTTGATTGTTCCATTAGCTCTAGAAAGTTGAGTTTGGTCTAGAAGGACCTTTATTTTGGGTCTCGAGATTTCAGACGCATTTCAAGCTATCTTCTAGTTTTAGCTAAAATGGGGCTTAGGGTTGTAGGAACCACTTTTCATCAAGATAATGAAACATCCCGCCTTAGAAAGAGCTAAATTTAGAAAGCGCTAAATTAGAAATAGCTAAATTGAGAATTTTACAAGTTATGCTTAAGTTGTGAGTTTTGGGTCAACTTCAAATGAGCATAACTTTCAGTACAAGATGAGTTAGGTGACCCATAAGATATCAGATAAAAGATCTTGGAATCCTCTTTCCAACGCCATCGAGTTTGCTAAGTTTCGAGTCCGTATGAGGGAGATACGCCCGTTTGAAGTATGTATGTCCAATTAAGGAAAGTTACCCGAAATTATGAGAGGTATTTTGGTCTTTTCTTTACCCTTCAAATTTAAGCGTTTTTAGTAAGGTTTTAGGGTTCTAAAATGATTTGGTTCAGTTTTCACAATCCTAATTACGCTTAGGGTTTTTAGAAGAGAGTTCAAGAAGAGAAAAGAGGAGAAAAGAGGGAAGGTTCAAGGCGTCATCAAGTTTTCTTGCGAATCGAGGATTTTTCGCCAAGGGTTTGATCCCTAAGAGGTATGTGAGTTCTCATAGTGTTGGGTTCGTTCACCCACATGCCAATTATGCTACTTTAATGCAATTTTGTTCTTGAAGTTGAAGGATTTGTGTTCTTGATGAGTTTCTTAAAGTTTCCTTCTTAATCTTGATTGTTGGGGTTCTTGATGAATTCTTGAGATAAGTGTTAGCAATTTGAGGGTTGTTTTGAGTAGATTATCGTGTACTTATGTTGGGTATTCGAATATAAGTGAGTTAGAAAGAAACCATTTGATTCTAGGTGAATTATGGTCAGAAAACGAGAAAGAAAATTCATTGGGAATTCTGGGAAAAGGGCTGGCGCCGCGCCAACATTGCGCCAAACAAAGTGTTCTATAGTTTAGGGGTTGGCGCCATGCGCCACTCACTGTGCCAGGGTCGCCTGCCCCCACCCTTTTTCTGTCGTCTGCTCCGTCTAAGTTCTTTTAAAGTATTCTTTTACTCCCTATTGATTCTAACTACACTAAACTACATCTAAACATCGAGAGATCATTCATAAGATGAATCATAACCTTGAATTCATAATTCAAATTTAAGGTAGAGTTAAGAGTTAAGTCTTGAGAATTCTTTACAGTCTTTTACAATCTTTTGAAACTTGTTTTAAGACTTGAGTAGTTGAGTATGAGAATGCTAAAGTTGAGTTTCATTTTTTTCAAAATGAATATATGGGAACTAAGTATTCCCAAGAGTAAATGTTTTTACATTTAATATGAGGAGGAAACTTTCCAAATGAGTTATGAGGAGTTTTGAGTACTATCTCTTTTAAGAGAAATATTTTGAGTAATAATCTCAAAGTTGAGGATGAGGAAATGTTTTTAGACATATGAGCTAAGTTATATTTTGGGAGTAGTATTGAGCACCGATATGGGGAGTCCCCATGTAGCCAACGTGGGTAGAAAGGGTCATACTTTTTAGATGATTCCTTATTGCTTTTTAAGCATAGCTTAGTGGATCAACTTAGTGAGGAGTTCTATACCCCGGTAAGGTATATGACAGTTCTGGCAGCGTGGGCGAGACGCTATATCATCACATAGCTCATAGTGATGGTTGTCCGTTAGAGAATCTCCCAAACAGAGTTATTTTGTATCTTTACATACAAATATGAATTTTTGTTATTTTATTGTATTTTTAAATACACTGAGTTGTTATCTTTTATTTTTAAATGTTTTATATAAACTACATCTTTATTGTTGTTTTTATATTGCTTTGAGTTGAGTATTCTTGAGTCGAGTTGAGGTAAGTATGTTTCATTCCTTCCGGTTAAAGCTAATGTTATGTTTTAGATTTTCCCTCGCATGCTCGTACATTCAATGTACTGATGTCATTTGGCCTACATCATTTCATGATGCACATACAGGAGATCAGGGTCATCAACAGGCAATTCGTTGATACCATTCGCAGTTTCAGAGTTGTTTGGTGAGCCTCCTTGCTTCTGGAGGATCCCTTAATATTTCTATTATGTCATTTTATTTCAGTTTTGATAGGTTGATCGGGGGTCTTGCCCCGACATCCCTCATAGTATTAAAGGTTTCATAGATAGATAAACAATAGTAGTTCATGAGTATCTTTCATTTCCATTGTTTATGTTGAGGCTTGAGTTGCCTCTTTGGCAAGTTGAATGTTTATTTCTAAATATTCTAAGTTTAAGTATTTGAGACTTTTTAGTTAAAGCTTTCCTTTGAGTTCTTTTATTGATGAGTAAGTCTTCTGTTGAGAGTTGAGCCAGGCCAAGGGTTCGCTTAGGGCCAGTAATGGTTCTCTAGTGCCAATCGCGTCTAGGGTCTAGGCTCGGGGCATGACAGATAACCTCTGTTGGAAGTTTTGGCAATTTTCTTGAGTAAAAAATGTTGTTTTTGGTCGGGTAGGATATTTAGTTTGTATGGGTTGGACCCCAATCAAATTACAAAAGTCTATTCCAGACGTGGATTTTTACTCCCAAATAGTTGATGTACTAGCTACTGGTGCAACCGCTCTGATGGGGAGCCTATCGTTCTAGTAAAAGCTGACAACATCAGCCAGACTCGTTCCTACGAAGCTTGATCTCTTCGGTGATCTCACTCTTGCGGAGGTGGGTTCTGACTAGTCATGTTGACCTTCGCTCCTATGGAACTTTTCCACCGGTGCGACGTCGCTCTAGAGACCATGGTCCGTCGGAGCGACAATTGCTGGTAGTTATATCTCTCTTCTCCTCATTCATCCATTGAAAGGTAGAAGAGTTGAAGTTCAATTCTTGCCGTAAGTCTCATTAATTTCCTCAATTTTGTCTTGAAATAGGTGTTCTTGAGCTAAATTAATCCTTTGGCCATTTTAGCTTCGTTTGTGGTCATTTCTAGGGCACAGGTCCCTTGAGCTGGTGTAGACCTTAAGACAGAGTCTTAGTGATTCCATGCATGGATCCCATATACCTATTATTGACCCAATTTTAGGTCCAAGTTCTCTCATTGCATTATGGATATAGTTTTCCTTATGTTGACACCTATATTGTTGATTTGATAGTATGGAATCATATAGAGGCTGCTCAGAAAGGAAAAACATTTTAGTGGATTTGCAGAGCGAGTGTTTGACTTCGACGTAGTCTATAACTTAATGATCATAGGCTTAGCTCGTTGATTGTTTTAGCATGATGATTTTCTAATTTTGGGTTGGATTAGCTAATATCATTCTTTTTGATATCCATATTGCTTTGTTAGACTTATTTCGAGTTTATTACAAAATAGTATTTCATGTTCTTGCCTCTATTGATGTTTATGCTCCCGCAACTAGTTTGCCTTAATGTATCTTAGTTAGGGGCTTAGCCTAGGGTTGGTTAGTGTGTGCCTTAGACTTAAGTCTTAGTGGGTCGTATGTTGTAGATTTGGATTAGATGTGACCCTTCAGGTTGTAGACTTTGACCTTCAGAAACCTTCTATTATCGATTTTGGCTACTTGGGGTTCGTTTGGTGCTTAGTATTACCTTAGATGATTGGACCTATATTTATTTGTGTGTGTGATTGGATCATCCCGATGTAATATTTCAAGAAGGATTAGCTCTTGTGTGATGGCCTCCAAATGTAAGAATCCAAGATGGCCTAGCTATTCTGATGTAAAATTCTGATAAAAGCTAGGTTTCTTCGTGTTTAATTTCGATGTAAGATTCTGTGATTGACTAGTTATTCCAATGTAAGATTTTGGGAGATGCTTAGCCTTTTTATGGTTTTTTGATGTAAGATTTCAGAAAGGATATGGTTTCGATGTAAGATTCTGGAAGCTAGGTTCGTGGGGTTAGCCCGATGTAAGATTCTGTGATTGACTAGTTATTCCGATGTAAGATTCCAGGAGATGCTTAGCCTTTTTATGGTTTTTTGATGTAAGATTTCATAAAGGATATGTTTTCGATGTAAGATTCTGGAAGCTAGGTTCGTGGGGTTAGCCCGATGTAAGATTCTGTGATTGACTAGTTATTCCGATGTAAGATTCCAGGAGATGCTTAGCCTTTTTATGGTTTTTTGATGTAAGATTTCATAAAGGATATGTTTTCGATGTAAGATTCTGGAAGCTAGGTTGTGGGGTTAGCCTGATGTAAGGTTCCGAGAACGACTGGCTTTACCGATGTAAGATTCCAGAAAAGGTTGTCCTTATTAGATGTAGCAATCCTGATGTAAGATTCCAGGATGAGCTATTCCTTCTTAGCGGTTATTCCGATGTCAGATTCCGGCCAATAGGCCATGCTTGGGTTTATGGCTAATGTTCTTGATTGTTCCTAGTACTGTTCTTCTTTATTATTTGCTCTCGTGTGTACTTGTTAGACTTATGAGGGTCTTCTAGGATTTATTTCCTCTATCCTGTCTCTTGTAATCATCTTTTTGGCTTATGGGTCCAATTAGGTTTCATTTGGGTTAGATTATTTAAGTTCAACCTCAAATACTCTCTATCTGACTAATGAATTATTTTATGATCATTGTTCCCTTAAAGCTGACTTACTGCTTTACTTACATTTTTTTATGCTTTGGCAATCTCGAGCTTGATCGGCCTATGTATTCATTGTTTTGATAGTCATACTACGCTGTATCTCTTTTCCTTGATGTAGATCCGAGTTTTAGCTGACCACATTGATCCTTGTGCAATGCAACTTATAGTCGGAGATTGATGGTGAACTTACTGGCATCTGGATTTGACTCATGTCCTTCTGTATATTTTGATTAGTCTTTTGTATTTTCAGACATTCTATCACGTCCTCTACTCAGTCTTTTATAGTAGTTCTCTCTTGATGTCTACCAGGTTTTGGGATGAATCTTTTATAGCTTTTTTCCTTGTTCATTAATGTATGTACATAAGTCTTGTTCTTGCCGTAGCTATTTTATTTACTTTGATTGTATTTTCCTTAAAGTTGGTACTTCCGCTCTATAGGCCAATTACTCCCATTCCGAGCTAAGAATTGACATAATTACTGGTGAGTTGTAGTAAGTGTCATCATGACCCTTTTGGATCATGACAATTATGGGAAGAGCCGATCCAATATCTATTTTCAACAATTGCCTTGGCTGGTAATGTGTTATCTTTCTGTAGTATTAGTCCGCCCCAAAGCAGATAAAAAAAATATTATATTCAAGTTCTATGTCAAATACTCTTCTTTCCTAACTTCAATCAAATATGCCCAAACGCGTAGAGACTACTTTAAGAAAAGCAGAAGTAATATAAGTGCAACACAGATTTCTGTGTGAGGTTGATTTCTTTAGAAAGACTAGAACGGAAAAATCATAGGAAAACATGAACCAATACTAGTAATGATAAATAAGTATCATACAAAAAATCTGAAATCAGATTATTATTTGAAAGAGTCATTAATTTTGCAGCACGAATATCGTCTGCTTATATTACGTCTTCCTCCGTGCCATAGATGTAGGATTTCCGTCAAAGAGGCCCTCAACTAACGTTTCAATATCTTCTGGCTGATACTTAATATACTTGTCTGCATGCTTTGTGTTGTCTAGATACTGCCTAAATCTCCCACAGAAGGATCTATAGGCCGGAATTAACACGGCTGATATAGAAACTCTGAGCTCGGATCGAAGCTGCTCGTCACTCACTACCCAAGTGCTCTGTGTACGATGAATTTCATCTAGCATAGTGCTGAAATTCTTGAACCTCTCTTTCACTATTGGCTTTGTCACCTTCCCATTTACTTGCATTCCATCATGATTTAGTATTTGTAGCAGTTTTCCCCATGTTTCTCTTTGGTAATTCTTGTGGTATTGCCTCACGGTTGTAGATCTTCTTCGACACCACGTGTCTCCCATCACTTGACGGACCTCTGTAGATCCTTTCGCTTTTTGTAAGATGTATCTACCGTTATTCATCAAGAATATGTCGCGCAACGAAGTGTCTCTATACAAGTTTGACTTGGCTTCTAGATTTGCATCCAACAGCTCCATTATTGTCATAAGCTGTACTGTTAACGGTGTCGTCTCTGCTACTACATTTTCGTGTGGGCTTTCGCTCTCAGCTTCATCAACAGATGATTTCAACTTTGATGGTGACGTGGCGGTATGTTCCTTGAAAATGTGTTCCAGGGCGTCTTTGTACTCACAGGCGTATTTTAGATAATTCATCACGTAACGTGTGAGCGGGTGCACTGCACCACCAGGGACCGGTGTTCTGGCTGCATCGTTCTTGATGGAGATTTCGAGATCATTGAATATATTTATGACAGCATCGCCGAATCTATCTCTTGTAGCTAAGATCTCAGACTTTAATTCGTGTTCACAGTCATTAATTGAGAGAGATTCACTTATCGCATGAATGAGATCGCGAATTGTATCGTATATGTCTAGATATTTGAAGAGCTTTTCGGCAGAGCGTTTTGTCCATGAGACAGCCTCAGCAAAGTCAAGTATCTGTATTACAATGGAACGCGCCAGATTGTTAAAAAGGCTTTGAGAGATCATTGGAGACGCGGAGAAAACTGATTCTCCGAGTCTCCTCTCTGCGAGGAACAGAGTATTCGAGCAGTTCCTCGCAACATTGATCCATCTAGTGATCTCTCCTTCTAGAGAATCCCAAGACATTTTCTGCACATCATCTACATTTATCTTCTCGAATTCGAGCATTTTCATTTGCTCATAAAATGCATTTCTTCGTGAAATTGAATACACTTGACAACAAGCTGTTTCAAATCCAGCTGAGATCATGGTTGTTGCAATTCGATTCATTCTTATCACAACCTCTGGAGGATACCATGGATAATCCTCGATTTGTGATTTTTTATCAACTTTTGAATTGGAATTACCTCCAAAATCTTCTAATAATGTTCGCAATTCTTCCTCCATGAAAGTCATGGCTTGTTTTAACACAATATTGGTTCGACTTAACAACGTTGATCCTGATGGAGATTTGGCGATTACATTCGTCAATTTTGATAAATGCATCACAGCTTCAAGGAAAAAGGATTCTTCCTCAGTCATCTTTCCCAATCTAGTCGGAGTTTCACCAGAATTACATTTCGCAATCCTGGACTCAATGATTTTTGAAAAAATTTCAACATTTTCAGGGAGTTGGGAGGAAGGATCATCATCATCATGAGATGTTGAAACGGTATTTTTAAATCGATTTAGATCAATATCTTCACATATTGGAGTAGTGCCACTCTTCTCCATTTGGTCTATCTAATCAAATGAGAATTGTATGCATATGCAAAAAGGGGAAAAATTGAATGAAGGAGAAAGATGGGAGAAAAGTTTGTTTAAGATTAAAGATGTTTAAGGGAAGGTTTGGTTTATTTTAGGAATATGGTTGGTAGAAGAAGAATGTTGACTTGGTTAACAAAGTTTTTTTTTTTTCTTTCATTTTAGTGCTTCACATGACTTGATCTCAACATGGGTTCCCACTACGCCCAATTCCCAGTTGTAGTTAATTTGGTGGTCAAGAGTTCCAATTATAATATAAACTACCTATATATTCCATGCTCATGTTGTTCAATTAAATCTTTAAATTTTACGTTAATTAAGTGGAAAAAAAGTACGAAAACAAATCATTCTCTTTTGGGTATTTTTATCCATTTTCCAAGGTGAAGGGGAAACTACACTCTCTTTCTATCGCGCACATTATGTTTGGATTGACTTTTTTTAAAGTGAATTATTGTGGTCCTTACTAAAAATTAATGATCCTTAATATTTGTCATTTTACAAAAATCAATACATAAATGACACTATTCTTCATATTTTATCATTGAGAGTTATTAGCATTGAAAATATTGATTTGATCAACAAAGAAAAATTATGTAAATAATTTATTTTCATTGGTCAAATTAATTAATCAAAATAAATTAATTCATGTTCATTAATTGAAAACTTGACTTTAAGAGAATATTAAATAAGGGTACAATGGTAAATTTATCTAATTTCTTAAGGCATGTGAAGTTTAAAATGATGACAATTAAATAGAAATGGAGGAGTATAAGTTAAAAGTTAAAAGTCACAAGTTAGTAACCCCAACTTTTGGTTTTTGACTTTCTTTTAAACCTTTTCAAATTTAAAAAAGTGTCTTTTGATGTTATCTAAACACTTTCAATATTAAAAAAAAAAATTAAAAGTCAAAAGTCACTAAAATTAAGTTAATCCGAACACTCACTTAATTTCGTAGATTTGGTTTATTTATATTATACTCAAGGGTAATGATAAATGGTCAGAAAATTTGGCCAGAATTTAGCCAAAAATTTAAAGTATATAAAATGTATTAAAATTAAAAACGTAAAAATGTTCAAAAAGATAAAATAACATAGGTAAAATACCATTCTGGCCAAATTCTGACTAAATTGTTTTGCCAAAAGAATTTTTCCTATACTCAATTATATCTTTAGTGGCACGTACAGTATAGTAGAAAGAGAAATGTCGATTGTTTGATTCCTAGATAAATGATTTAGCATTAGAAAAGAATTAGGGAAAATTTTAAGACACATATATTTTACATGAATCATTAGTTGCATATATATATATATTACATGATTTTGTCGATTAGTTGCATATTTAGACTATGATTTGGTTCCAACTATTTATTTCAATTGTGTATTTTTTTTTATTCATGTCAATTTGTAAAGTAGAAAACTTGGCTTGAACTCCATCAGAATTAGTTTTATTCAAAATAATGAAGTACACATATTCCATGTGTATTTCATTTTTAATGAAATGGTTAGCTCATGGCTCTCCCTGGATTATATTTTCTTGCTCATGAATCTTAGCTCAACAATTTCTTCCTTTCATAACAAAACATAATTGTATCGTAATAATCGCATGTGCACTCAAAAGCAATTTTCCCCCAAGAACCAATTTCATGTTGATCCGCTTTATATACTTGTAAGATGTAAGCTTTAACCTAAGTCTTTCTTGGAAATAATCTTTCACTTGTCGCAACCCAGTAGGCGGGTAGGTTATATAAACCTAATCAGATTGACATAATGAGTCCTAAAGGCGGTCTTAGGAATATATAGAACCCTGATCTTCAATTGATGGTAGCCCGATCTTTAGTCAATCATCGAGAATAATGAAGCACCCTGACAATGCTCAAATAAATTATTAATACGCAGTATCAAATATTTGTTCTTGATAGTAACATGGGATAGCTGGCAAAATAGCCATTCTCAAGACTTAATTGAGCATTTAGACTCAAGTCTTCAAAAATTTGAACTTTAGACACTAAATATGACATCACTCATTATTCTTTCAAAATATACAACACCTTACTCTCAAATTTTTAATACTACACTTTGGTCCCCACTCATCCAACAAATGTGGAATGTTTTTTTTTTTTCATTTATTAAAAAGTCAATTCCACTAGAGAAAAGCTCTCAAAGAAGAAATCAAAATGCTCCCGTTTTTGCAGCTGATTTAGCCGATTCCGGCGACTTTTCCGACGATATTATAGCTTTCACAAGTGAAATCATCATCATTCTACTCATTGCTTCCATTTTTATACCATTTTCTTTCAAATAGCTTCAAAGAAAAAATTTCCCGCCAAAATCACTTCATAACTCGTTTTTAGATAAACTTTAGTAGTTTAGAAGGACTATAGATAATTGTTCTCCATTTCAAAAGCTTGATCTGAACCCAATCTTGTTCATTCTCGTTTTGTACAGATTTCGTATCAGTCATTGACCGCTAATTATTGATATCATAATCTAGTATCTATAATTGTAGTTTATATATGTTAATAGCTGAATTTGTTGTTGCTGGTGGTGATTATATGGGAGTATGGGACACTACTAAAAAACTGCTAAAAACGACGGAAGTAAAAGCGACGGACGGCGTCGCTCCAAAAAGCGACGCCATTAGCCACAATGTCCGTCGCTTTTTAATTAAAATATTTTTTTTTAAAAGCGAGGGACGGCATCGCTTAGTCCGTCGCTTTTTTCGCGGATTTTTGCTAATTAATTATTTTATATAGATAGCGACGCAGTCCGTCGCTTTTTATTAAAAATAATTATTTAGTAATTTAAAAAAACATCTTTATGTCCGTCGCTTCTTGGTCAAAATATTTGGTCAAATATTTTAAGAAAGCGACGGACATTGTCTCTTAGTCCGTCACTTTTTGGTCAATGTTGGTCAAACATTTTTTTTAAAAAGCGACGGACATAGAGACGTTGTCCGTCGCTTTTTTAAAAATATCTGCACTAGCATACGCGATTTTCCCCATGTCTCCATATAAAAAACAAAATTGAGAAATATTTTGATTTAATTTTATTTAAATCGTCTTCCGGAGGACGGTTTTGTGTAAAATAAAAAATAAAAAAATTATAATATCGACTTCCGAATGTCGGTAAAATTAAATAGTATGGAATAAATTAATATTTTCAATTAACTTTACATAAATCGTCCTCCGAATGACGGTTTTATATAAGTTAAAAAATAATTTAATATAAAATACCGACCTCCCGATGTCAATATTATTTAATTAACATGACTACTTTTTATTTTTTCGTAAAATTTAATGTGATACCGACCTCCTGAGGTCGGTATTTTTTATTATATCTAATTACTTTTAAGAAAAGCGACATCCGGAGGTCGGTTTGTTTAGAATATTCCTATTAATCATAATTTTGCTATTGTGCACAATATTAAATTTCATTTTACACCTACAATTAATTGTTCAAAAAGTGTAACAATTTTGTATATATTTATAAATAAAAAGTTAGAGTTCGTGGAATAAATAATAAAAATATCTATAATCCATATTTAGAGTATGAAACTACGTTGATATGAATTAGGAGATAATTATACTTATATTTATAGAGTAATATACAAATTCTATCAGTCCGTCGTTTAATCATGAACTTAATATCTCATGTCATGATGTCGTAGAGGTGAAGAGCTAACATATAATTCATTCGCGTATGAAATGCGAGATAGTATTATTATATACGTTCGATCTTGAATGGATGTCAAGTGTAGTGATCACCTCCTAATTATGATGACATGTAAAGGATACTTCATCGGAGTATGAAATAAGTTGATTAATTATATATTCCTCGAGTAGTTTAACAAATCAAGTCTTATATACTAGTGGTTCAGATATGAAATACATTATCAATTAAAGAAATACCGATGATCAATTCAAGGAGTTTATATATTAAATTTGATATTGATAAACTTTTGTTGATCAATAAAATTAAATTTATATAATTAGAAGGTATATAATTTAAATTTATAAAATTAACTTGATCGATGAATTAAATTTATTAAATTAAACTTCTGTTGATGTGTAGTTAAATTATATATATATGTACGTACTTTTAATATTTATAAAATCAACCTCAAGAGGTGAGTTTATATTAAAATAAATTAATAAATACCGACCTAAAGAGGTCGGTATATTTAAATAATTATTTTATTTAAATAGTATCAACTTCACGATGTCGGTATGTTGACACCCAATTTTGACCGACCTATAACCCTTTTGGAAGTGCTATTCGGTTAAATACATATTTTTTTTAAAATATTCCGAGTTTAAATTTTTAATTGATTTTGTCTAAAAAATATATATTTTAGTATGCATGCTTTATAAAATTATCGTAAATATTATTAAAATATTTTTAAAATTATAAGTAAAACTCGAAATAATTATTTTATTCAAATGTTTTAAAATTTAAGTAATTTTTATTATATAAAATGTTATAATATTTGTAGTATTTTAATTGGATAGCATATCTTTAATTTTTCTCGAAATCATTTAATTTTTAGCTCATTCTGATCTAATTCCTTTCAATTCTAGCTTTTTCCTTATCCAATTCATTGCAATTCTAGCCACCTTCAATCCAATTTCGTTTTCAATTATAGTCCTCTTATATCAATTTAGTTACAATTTTAGCCATTCATTCATTGCAATTATAACCCTTTTTGTCCAAATCTTCAAACATTAGTTTAAATCCGAACCATCCATCCCTTAAGTGAATCCTAGATCAAATCCTAACCGCTCATCTTAACTAATCCAATGGCTCAGATTAAATCTACCTAACCTTCCTATTTTTTACCTAAAAAAAGACCAACCCTTTTTTGAAAACTGATTCTTTTCTTCTCTCTACGCAACCCCCTCCATCAGTGAGAACCGGCGAGAGCTCCACCATCGTCGGTGAGCTCTCCCTCTCGCTCCTCCCATCGCCCTCCTCCCGTCGCCCTCCTCCCGTCT